GCGCTCTACCACTTGAGCTACAGCGCCACTTCCAGTTTTCTGGTGGTTTATTGGAGATAGGAGTCTCACAGTCTCTCCTGCCCGGGCTGGCTTTGAACAGCGATCCTCAGATCTCAGCCTCCTGAGTAGCTAGGATTACAGGCATGAGCCACCAGCGCCCGGCTACTGGATCTAAATCTTTACGACAGTTCAAATATACTAAATCTTTACGACAGTTCAAATATATACCATCTTTATGATAACAATTTAAGAAAGGGAAAATATACCTTCACATTGAATCCAAATCTTCCATTTTCATCTGGTTTCATTCTGATCAGAACAAGATTATCATGTGGAATACCACCATTAGGCTTGAAAAGATAAAAACAACATTTTTTCATTGGTAATTTTTCCTTTAGATACATACACAATATACAGCATACTTTTTGTTTGTTGTTGTTATCTATAATGCATAAATAATCACAATTCTGGTAGAAATGTTAGTTTAGGAAAGTAAATTTCTTTGACTAGTAACTTGCAGATACATTCTGTCATAACTTCTTGCCACTACATTGACAAAAAGATCACTGGCAACCAGAAAGAATTTGCTGTCTCTATTTCCTACCAGTTAGGTTTTCATCTTCACCATTCTGTCACAATTGTTTAAACTAAGGAAACAAAGAATTTAATATTGTTAAACCCCTTTTTCTCTCAATACCTCCTCCTTCCCTCCTCTGCTATGATTTCCTCTGAAAGTTCTTTCAACATACATATTGCATTAACTCAGAGCCTCATGGTCTCTCACTAAGTTTTTATTGTTTACAGCTGGTGCTCTACCACTTGAGCCACTTTACCAAAAATAAAACCTCTCCTGGTTTTACACTGGTTACAGTAAGTGGAAATAAGTTTCTCAGATTTGTCTGCTCATGCTGGCTTAAACCACTGTTTTAAAATCTCAGCCTTGTAAATTATTATTATAGGAGTAAGTCATCAGTGTCCAATTATAAGACTATAAATTACGAGTGTGTGTGCATGTATGTGTGCATGCATGTATGTGTGTGTGTGTGTGTGTGTGATGGCCCTGGGGCTTGAACTCAGTATAAATTATCTAAATATTTCCAAAAAACCTAAACAAAAGTCTGATCTAAGGAATTATCTAAGTCCAATTAGTGGTACTTAATAGATTAGTATTTTGCTCTGAAGCACAAATGTGTTTTATATACTGAAATTAACACAAATTTGTTAGGTGCCGAAACTTGTAAAGTGACAGGCATTTTTTTCTTGTCCGTTGTGGGGCTTCGACTCTAGGTCTGGGTGCTGTTCCTGAGTTCTTCAGCTCATGGTGAGCGCTCTAGCACGAGCCACAGTGCCACTTCTGGTTTTCTGGTGGTTAATTGGATTTAAGAGTCTCATGGACTCAGCTGCCTGGGCTGGCTTTGAAAGATGATCCTCAGATCTCAGCCTCCTGAGAAGCTAGGATTACAGGTATGAGCCACTGGTGCCCAGCTGTGACAGACATTTTTTTTTCAAGCAGTTTATAAGTAAAAATAAAATAAAATGAAATTTCTGATGGCTCATGCCTGTATCAATCCCAACTGCTCAGGAGGCTGAGATCTAAGAATTGCAGCTCCAAGCCAGCTTAGGTAGCAAAGTCCATAAGACTCTCCAATTAACCACTAAAAAAGCCAGAAGTGGAGCTGTGGCTCAAGTGGCAGAATGCTAGCCTTAAGCAACAACAACAATAAGAACAAAGAAAAGAAAAATCCCAGGGATAGCACCCAGGCTCTGAGTTCAAGTACCAGGACAAGCAAAAAAAAAAAAAAAAAGGAAATGTCATAATTTAGTTACTTCATAATAAGAATTCATCACTAGAAATTAGAAAGTACTATAATTTATAACTAAAATATGCAATAGTACAAAACAAACTACATTTAAAAAGTTGAAAAAAAGAAAGTAAGACACTACTTACTGTAGACTTTTCAGGGGAAGATGGAACATCAAATGTTTCACTAGTATGGTTTTCCAGATCTTGTTGAGAATGTGAGTAATAAATTTGGTTCCAACTGTTTTTCTTAGATTGTTTGGGTGGTAAAGCTGGAGGCTGCCCATCTTCAGGTGTTTCTTGTGATCTAGGTAAGAAAAAAGGAAGAGGAAAAATTATTTTGGAAAGTTATCATCATCATCATCATTATCATTATCATATCATTATGAACTTGAACTCAGGGTTTTGGCACTGTCCCCAGCTTTTCTGCTAGGCTCTAACAGTTGAGCCACAGCTCTACTTTTGGCTTTTTGGTGGTTAATTGGAGAGTCTCATGGACTTTCCTGCCTGGGCTGGCTTCAAACCATGGTCCTCAGATATAGCTTCCTCAGTGGCTAGAATTAATAGTTGTAAGCTACCGGCACCCAGCTCAATTATTATATTTTAAAGTCAAATGACCCAAATACTTACAATGGCTAGTGGAGACATGCTTTAGGTACTATATTTACTTGAAAATGGCACCTTTTATTCAACCTTTCTTACTTTGAAGTAGTAAACCTAATATCCTAATCAACTATGTTGTACAATATACTTCAAGTATTTCTATGATGATATTAACTTGCTCTATCTATCGATCCACGGACCGACCGACCCACCTACCTACTGACCTACCTACCTACCTATCTTTCCAAAAACATTTCAGAGGTTTTCAGTAGAGCCAGGAATAACCAGAGAATAAGGCAGGAACTTATTAACAAAGAGAAATCAGAACTGAGAACTGGGGCTATTTGACAGAGAAAGCACCGGTATAGTCTAAAGAACTTAAATCATGTATCTAATAAACGTCTAACATCCAAGAAAAAAAATACCCTTTTGACTGACTTAGGCAAGCGCTCTACCACTGAGCCACCTTCCCAGCCTGTGTCCAATTTTTATCAACAGGAATTGTCAAATAGAGATAAGTTATGAGGGACAAATTTCAAGGCAGAAATTGCAGCTTTTAAGAACAAACATGGTATATATAAATATAGTAACGATACTTGTGAGTTTTTCACAAAGGACAGAAGGAAAAACTAGTGATTCACTTTATGTCCTAGGAAGCAGTTATCTATGCTCGGCTATACGATTTGCTTTGGCCAATGGACAGAAGTGGTATGTACACCTGAAAATAGACAGTTATGAAATAATCTGAAAAAAGGTCTTACGGTGATGATTCCAGCACAATGCTATTAGCTTGTGTTGATGATGGAGATCTTTCATTCACAAAAATTTCACTGGCAGAAGGGTGAACCACATGGTCTACCAAATGACCAACTGAAGATGGTCGTACCCGGTTCCCCTCTTGTGTGAATACAGAATTTCGGCTGAATGAAGGAGAGAAGTAGAATAAAAACATGCTTTGATTCAATTTTTCCAAGGGTCTTAATTATATGGTTGCATGAGAAAGTAGGTGTATGTTTTTAATACTATGTTATTCTGATGTAAACAGTGTGACACAAAGAGAAAGAACACAGAATTGGAAAGCAGGATCTTAGCTGTAGTCAATAATCTGCCACAAGGATATTTTACTCATTCATCTATTATCTCTAGCCTATGTTTTAGGTTTCAGTCACTATAATTTTGGTTTATTCAACATTTATAAAATAGATTAGAATAAATGATTTAGAAATATCTTTTTTTTGGGGGGGGTCTGGTTGTGGGGCCTGAACTCTGGGCCTGGGCGCTGTCCCTCAGCTCTTCAGCTCACGGCTAGCGCTTTACCACTTGAGCCACAGTGCCACTTTCGGCTTTTTTCTTTGTGCTTATGTGGTGCTGAGGAATCGAACCCAGGGCCTCAGGCATGCAAGGCAAGCGCCCTCCCACTGAGCCACCTTCCCAGCCCTAGAAATATCTTTGAATCTAAATTAATTTCTTAAGTTGTTTTTTTTGTTGTTGTTGTTGGTCGTGGGGCTTGAACTCTGGGCTTGGGTGCTATCCCTGAGCTCTTCAGCTCAAGGCGAGTGCGCTACCGCTTTTTCTTAAGTTTTTTAGTGACTGGGGTTTGAACTCTGTGCTATGCACTGCTAGGCAGATGCTCTACTACTTGAGGCAGGCCCCCACTCTTCTTTCTCAGTTTTCAAGGAATTTCAAGTTTCAAGAATACACACTAAATAGTGCATTATCATAGACAAAGCAACAATCACATAAATACTGCCATTGCAACTGATTGAAATATCTAACAGTTAAATACTTATGTGCCAGGCATTGTTCTAAATTTTTTTTTGGGGGGGCGGTCAGTTGGGGGCTTGAACTAAGGGCCTGAGCACTGTCCCTGAGCCTCTTTTTGCTCAAGGCTAGCACTCAACCACTTGAGCCACAGTGCCACTTCCAGTTTTTGAGTGGTTAATTGGAGGTAAGAATCTTATGGGGACTGTTCTGCCTGGACTGGCTTCAAACCATGATCCTCAAGATCTCAGCCTCCTGAGTAGCTAGGATTAGAGATATGAGCTACTGATGCCCAGCTATGTTCTAAATACTTTACATATATTCCTCCATTTAATGCTCTATCAATACTATAAGAAAGACTCACACACAAATAGAATTTGGTAGATGAGGAAAATAAGATGGAAATGTATCATCTTGTCCAAGGTTCAAATGTCCAGTGACTTTAAGGTCCATGCTCTTAATCACCACACACAATAATGTCTCTTTAGAAATAAATTGTTTCTCAAATCATCTCTAAAAATTGTTTCACTAACCAGAAAACTCAGTGCTACTGTTGACTAATTACATGAATTATTTGATTTAAAGTTCTTTGATCTCCTAAGTATTGGCATACTGCTTAGTGGTGTGTTATCAAATGGAAAAATGGCTGGCTCCAAAAGGGAGGAAAAAACAAGGTTCTGAAATTTCTTCAAAAAAGATGATTAGCCTTTGAATAAATGCATGTTTTATTAAGGAAAGATTATGTTGTAATATGCAACTGGCAAGACAGAAATCACTGTATCCAGTTTTTCCAATAAGGAAAAGAGCTGGTGAACGGAATGGTTTACATATTTTATATCAAGCACGGTAGAGCTTTATTCAGTTGATAATACCCTAGCAGTGCTTAGCTTTAAGAGCTTATTCCAGATTTATTGAACATTAGAATATATAAAATATTTTTCCTTTATTTGTATTAATCATGCCATCTTGCCAAAAGTTCTTAATTTTTTAAAAAATGCCAGGGAAAACATGTCACATTAAACTTTTTGAGTATGACAAGAATATTGTGGTTATATAGAAGAATATTCTTATTCTTAGGAGACACAAGTTGGGAGTACCTGGGATGAAATTTCATGCTATCTGCAATTTGTTTTTCAGGCTTAAGCTAAAAAAATGTATGTATGTATACATTTATATATACACACATATATACATATATATGCATTTAAAGTTATCTACAAAGTACTAGTATATGAATATATATGTTTAAGTATATAATGTCATCAGATGAGAAATGAGGGCTTTCCTCAGCTTCCTAGTTTCCATGCAAAATCGGATCCTTGAGATCCACTTAAGAGAAGCATTTCAAGGTCTCAAACCTTTCACGAGGTAAAAAGTTAGCAATGGTTTATTTTAGTGTGACAGGGCAAAAATACAGAAAAATGGGAAAAAGAGAAACATTTCCTGCTTCTCATTTAGGAAATGGGAATTAAGACTCCTATAGAAAAATATTTCTAAGGGAAAATTGCCTCAAATTCTATATTCCATATAAAACCTCACGCATTTTAATAAGTGAGTCTTTAGGGTGAAAAAGTATGTCAATATGTTGGTACAACTTTGCTTATTATTATCTTAATTATATAAAACATATTATGATAAAAATTAAGATAATCAGCCATGATAAAATTAAGATAATCAGCAGCTTTGGCTAATACATGCTTATTATCTATACCAAAATATACAGCTTTTGTGAGAAGTGCTAGACAGAAGGACATCCTCAGTAAGTGTTGAATCACACAGCTCTTTTTAGCACAGTTATAGCTAAGCTTATAGGGCTAGTGTTGGAAATCTCTTTCTAGGGCACAGAAATTGCTAGAGCTGTGAGTCATAATGACTTACATAACATTTTCAAATAACTTATATTCCCTTAGAAATTGTGATGTGAACCTAATGGAAATGGATTCTATGAAAACAATCACATGAGTTTTCTAAGTCCACTAAAAGACCTTGATGTAACAATCTAGGTACCCTAGGTAACACTTTCATGGAAAGCAGCAACTAGAGAAAGAACAATTCTCTAGGAGCAATAAAAATCATGCTTGGTCAAGTTCCATTATTATCTATGTTGATTTTCGGGGAATGGAAAATAAAGCCAATAATTTAGAAATTAGCAAAATGAAATCCTGCTTTGTACTTACTGATTAGGAGTTCCAGGTGGAGATCTTGATGGAAGGCTTTGTGTTTCTAACCTGTCATCAGATACTGAATTTCTGCTTACTACTTCCCAATCCATTAATTTCCGTGCCAATGGCTTACTAGGGGATCTGCAGATATAATTTAAGTAATATATGGAAAAGCTTTAGGCCAGGTTTCAGCAGCTCATGCTTATAATCCTAGCCATATCTAGAGGACTGAGGTTCAAGGCCAGTCCAGGTAAAATAGTTCACAAGACTTTACCTATAAAATAATCAACTATCTGCCTATAAAAAAAAAAAATCACAAAATTTTAGTTGAAGCACCTCAGTAGAATAAAAACACAAGAATTTTCAGTCATAGTTCATAAAACACAGACTGTTATTAAGTAAATTTTCATGTGCTTCAGATTTTCCATAATAATAATTACTTTCCTTAAAGATGACCATCACTTTTTCCTTCTCACCAAGTACTATGTCCAGACATACAGATGTATAAATTAGAAAAATTATCAAGCAATACTGTATAAATTTTAAAAAACCTCAATCAAGGCACAAAATAAATGTAACATTAAATCATCTAATTAAACTGAAATAATAAGATCATTATTTACCACTTTCCTCATACATAACAATTTTGAGGGTTTATTAACCATAGTTAAAAGATCAAATACTTTCATTTTCTAAGAGAAAAAAATCATTTGAAGAAGAAAAAACCAATATACTTACCTTGTATAATTTGTCACAACACTTATTTCTTGTTAATGTACTAAATGTGTGAAATGCTTTGAATTTAAAACTAAACTTCAGGTATTTTGTTTTATTAACAGTTTTAACCTCAGAGATCCACCCACTCAAGCTTGCTGTCTGTGTTTCCTGTTGAATGTGGAAATTTCAGAGAAAAAAATACCACACTGTATCAGTGTGTTTGCAATGTGGTAAGTTTATTTTCTGACCATGGCATCTTATTTTTCTATCATATGAAAACCCTGTTTTATATTCTTCGTAGATACTATTATATAACAACTAAGCAATTCAAATATATAAGAAAAAAAGTAGCTTACTTAATTATTGCTAAAAATCTTACTATATGGAATGTTTAAGGAGAAATCTTTTTAATTTATGCTGCCTATTAAGTTCCAAGAAAGATAAAAATTCTTTACCACTGTACCAAAATGACTTAACAGTTGCTAACATAGAGAATTTTGTAGATATCTACCAAGTAATTACAATATAATTCTGATATATTAGAAAGAAAAATGGGAGGCTGGGAAGGTGGCTCAGTGGTAGAGTGCTTGCCTTGCATGCATGAGGCCCTGGGTTCGATTCCTCAGCACCACATAAGCAAAAAGAAAAAAGCCGGAAGTAGCGCTGTAGCTCAAGTGGTAGAGCGAGCACTAGCCTTGAGGTGAAGAGATGAGGGATACCACCTAGGCCCAGAGTTCAGGCCCCACGACCAGACCCCCCCCAAAAAAAAGAAAAATGATCACAGAAGTTTAGATTTTGCCATAGAATGGTTTAACATTTTTAAAATGTCTTCCTTTGACTCAGAGGTAGAAGGTTTGCTTAGCATGTAAAAGGTCTCTTGGGCTTAAGCTCCTGCATTGCAAAAAAAAGTAAAACTTCCCAGTTGACAACTTATTTTAAGGAGAATTCTTAAAGCTCCAGAAAATAATTAGTATATAAGTGTTCTTTGGGGCTCCTCACTCTAGAATTCTAGATTTACCACTATTCATTGAATAACATTTAAAAAAATGTTAAGTTCATATTTCAATAATGAATATACAAATAAGATAAAGATGTAATGGCTTATTCCTGAGATCTAATGTGATTTAAAAAAACTTCAAATGTAAAATTTCTTTTCCTCCAGAAACACACAAAAAAAGAACTTTTAAAGCTGAAGAACAAAATGTAAACACAGTAAAAATAAAAAGCAAATTCTTTAATTACTGTTACTGAAACCCTCAAGCTTCCCAGCAGTATATGCCAAACACATTATGATTTTTGCCCCTGCTCTTTATTTTTCTGGTATCAGGGTCTTTAAACTCAGCTGCTCAGCAAACAAGAGAACCTGAGTTTAAAAATGTTGGAAACTACCACTTGAGCCAAACTACCACCTCAGCTTTTTGCTGTTTATTCTGGAGACAGAGTTTTGCAGACTTTTCTGCCTGGGATATCTTGAAACACTAATCTTCTGGGTCTTAGCCTCCTGAGTAGCTAGGATTACAGGTGTCAGCCACCAACATTATTGAAAACAAACTCCTGTTTCAAACAAACCTCTTATGTAATTGATCATCAATTTCTACTTTCATCTTTGTTTCCTATTCTCTATTTCACCAGTTCATGCCTCTACTAGTTTTACTTAGATTACTTCAATTATCTTCTAATTGGACTCTGGGTACCCAATCTCCACTTACTAATCTTTGCTTATGAAAGTATTTTCAAAAACATAAATATGATCATTATATTTTCTATATTCATGGCATTTCTTTACATATTATATACTTAATATTTATGAAACAGATCTTTATTAACTATATGAATTTTCTTGCTCATGAAAGTATTTTCTAAAACATAAGTATGCAAACTGTCTCTAGCAGACCAAAAATTAGAATAAATGGCAACAGTATGACTAGGGCTAGACAACATGTCCCTGGATTTCACAAAAATGTTTTAAAAGAGACAAACTTTTAATAAAATGTCATATTAATAATATGATCTGATTTAGCCTATTCCAAGCTCTAATAATTGCATGCCTGTTTTATATATATTTAAAAACAAGAATTAGTGTATCATTCAATCAGCATAATTTACTGTGTAATTAAGGATCACATGATTATTCTGCAATCACTTAAGACAATCTTAAAAATAATTTTAATACTTAAAAAACACACACAAAAGTGACTTACCTTGCAAACACCCTGTCTTTATTTGCTTTTTCTTTGCCATATTGAACTGACTGGACTTCAGTTCTGCCACTAAAATATATAAACATGTATAATATATTAAAGAGAATTGTAAAATAGATAACATTCACATATAAAATACATTATGTACAATTTTGTGAGATACTTCTAACAAAAGAAAAGGATAAAATAGTAAAATAAGGAAAGACTGGACCATATTTTGGTTCCAACTGTATAGATGAAGCTTAATTACAGTTATTCTATTAATGAACAAAGAAATATGTTTCATAGACATTTCATTTTCTATTACTTTCTTGTTGAGAATAAGAAATAATTTAGCATGACAGAATTCCTTGCAAAAACCCTCTGAGTCAAAGATAAGTTACCATGCTCAAATCAAACAAGTTCCACCAGCCTGCCTGCCCTCCCCCTCAGCAGGATTGGGACCTAGTCAATGTCTCCATTGTAACATGCTGTAACATGGAGGAGTTTGGGCAAACTTTGCTTCCTTTTTTACTGCTAATGATCACAGGTGCAGAAATTCCCTCCACATCCAGAAATAGGTAATTTCAGTAAGTTATGTACTACATGTCCTGAAACTAATTTCATAGCATACTTTTTTTTTTTTTTTTGTCGGTTGTGGGGCTTGAACTCTGGGCTTGGGCGCTGTCCCTCAGCTCTTCAGCTCAAGGCTAGCGCTCTACCACTTGAGCCACAGTGCCACTTCCGGCTTTTTTTTCTTTTTGCTTATGTGGTGCTGAGGAATCGAACCCAGGGCCTCAGGCATGCAAGGCAAGAGCTCTACCACTGAGCCACCTTCCCAGCCCTCTAGCATCTTTTTTTTAAGCATTGATAAGTTGGAAGTTTCCACTGAAAATAGGTAGTAAATAAATTTCCACTAAGTAGTAGTTTCACTGGGTGAGGACAGGAGGGTAAAACCAGGAGAGAGCAAGGAAAGGGGTGACACTGTCCAAAAAGAAATGTACTCTTTACCCGACTTATATAACTATAACCCCTCTGTACATCACCTTTACAGTAACAACAGGGTTGAGAATGTGCCTTTGTGGTAGAGAGCTTGCCTGGCATGCTTAAAGACCTGGGTTCCATTCCTCAGTACCACATAAACAGAAAAAGCCAGAAGTGGTACAGTGGCTCTAGGGGTAGAGTGCTAGCCTTGAGCAAAAGAAGCTCAGGAACAGTTTCCAGGCCCTGAGTTCAAGGCCCAGGAATGACAAAAATAAATAATTAAAAAAATGTACTCATTATCTGTTAGATAACTGTAACACCGTCTATAGTAACAATAAAAAAATAAAAAAATTAAAATGATTAAGTAGTTTCACCAGTTTTGTATTTCCATTTTAGAATACTGATTTCAATGCCTTGAGTATTTTGGAATAGATGTAAGTGTGTACATATGAGAAAATTGGTAGAGAAAGTAATAAATCTGATATTTCTAGTTCATTTTCTGATGAAAGTAATACTTTGACACTTTAAATAACACAACAATATTTCCAACTATGACTCATTATGAAGGGAAAAAAAGCTTATTTAGTACATACCCCATTATGTATAGAACTATGTTCAGTTAAACATCTGTCATGCTTTTGTTCCTATCTCATTTATACGATTAATCATTCTGATGATTAAAAATTATTTCAGACACATTTTTAAAGTTTCTAAGAACTATAAACATAAAATTTAGTCTTTTTTTTTTTTTTTGGTTGGTCATGGGGCTTGAACTCAGGGCCTGGGCACTGTCCTTCAGCTTTTCAGCTCAAGGTTAGCACTCTACCATTTGAGCCACAGCTGGTACTTCCGGTTTCTGGTGGTTTACTATTTCCTGCCTTGGCTAGCTTTGAACGGTGATCCTGAGACCTCAGCCTTCTGTGTAGCTAGGATTACAGATGTGAGCCACCGGTACCCGGCTAAAATTTAATCTTGAAAGCTATAACTATGTACAATTTGTGTATATGAATTTAATGTACGCTGAGCTGTCCAGGCCCCAATTCTTTCTTGTGCACTGCTGCTGCTAAGTGATTATCTGGATTCTTTTGCCATGTGGCTTTCTATTAAGCTCACAGGGCAAGGGAAAAGCTCAGAAAAGTGGAAAAAGGAAGAATGAAAAAGTGCCAGATGTTCAAAGTGGCTTTAACTGTCTTGAGGATAGCAGAGAATGAGAAACAGCACCTTGTAGATGCTTCCATCTTTGGCTAAAGCAGCAGTTCTCTGGCAGATCCAGGTTTAACCTTGGGGACTCCAAGCCCACAGATGACCCATCATTTGATCCTTGGGCATTACTCCTTTCTATAGTACTTTTCTGCCCTTTTTCTTCTCAACCTAACACCAATGTAACAAATTTCCTCAAATGAATTGCTTTGTTTGGAATATCAAAAGACTTTTCTGTTTCTCTAACTGAATCCTGACTGACATATTAATATGGCAGCAAGCTCAAATGGAACTCTATTATTCTGAAGACTGGATTAATAACTATCTTTTAGAGCAGAGAGAAAGTACAATTGCTCAACATATGCTTTAAAAAAAATGTTTGCCAATCCTGGGGTTTGAATTCAGGGCCTGGGAGCTGTCCCTGAGCCTCTGTGCTCAAGGCTAGCACTCTACCACTTGAGCCACAGCCCCTCTTCTGGCTTTTTCTGCATAGTTTACTGGAGATAAGAGTCTCACAGACTTTCCTGCTCCACTGGGTTTGGAAGGTAATCCTCAGATCTCAGCCTCCTGAGTAGCTAGGATTGCAGGTGTGAGCTACCAGTGCACAGCTAATATATGCTTATTTCAAATAATTCAAGCAACATAAAAAAGCATAACAAAAAACAATTGTAAATCTCAGCCCTGTCCCTCATATCTCATCATCACAAACAGATAAGACCATTCTTCTAACTTCACCTGCACAAAGAAAAGGCTAGAGATGTAGAGATAATCTTATGTGTTTACAGCAGATAGTTTTATTTTTTGTTGTATTTTACTTTTTTTGAGATTGTCTTAATATTCCTGACTCAATTTATTCTTCTGCTACAACCTAGAATGATAGGGAAGGGGCAGGAGAAGAGAATGTTTAGAAATGGTATTCATTAAAAAGATTTATAGAGAGCTGGGAATATGGCTCAGTGGTAGAGTGCTTTCCTTGCATGCATGAGGCCCTGGGTTCAAGTCTTCACCACCACATAAGCAGAAAAAGCCGGAAGTGGTACTGTAGCTCAAGTGGTAGAGCAATAGCCTTGAGCTGAAGAGCTGAGGGACAGTGTCCAGGCCCAGAATTCAGGCCCCAACAAAAACAAAACAACAACAAAAAGACTTAGAAATCCTTAAAAGCTGCTGTTTACTAATATTTAAAATTATATGCTCCTAATTTTGTCCATAGAGATTCAAATATATCACTTGCTTCTTCCAACTTAGTTTGTGGGAGCTGAAGATGTGGCTCAGTGGCTGACTGCCTGCCTAGCAAGCTAGAGTGCCTGAGTTCAAACTCCAGTAGCACACAGAAAAAGAGAAAGAACAAGAAAGATAAAGGAAGGAAAGGAATTCTATTTTACTTTGTAAAAGTGCGTATCATTTTAATTCTAATCTCTAGTCTCTTTAATCTCAGGATCTGCGTGGATTATTTTAACTCTTGGTTAGTTTAGTTTTATGATTAAGTAGATGTTTAGTAAGGACTCAGAAATGCTGTATAAACTGAAATCTGGCATACTAAATGATGTCTATTATTTTTGACTTCAGGCTTGAATGGCAATCTGGTGGCTAGTATTTTTCAAGTTACCTTTTTATCATTAGGGCTTAGTAGATGAAGGTGGCCCACAGCTATGCAATCCATGAAGGCTTATTTAAGATGTACACTGCTTAAAAATACCTAATCTGATCCAATAAAACTCTTGCAAAATTGATCTCAGAACAGAGAAAATAATAAATATCAAGAATGAGAGAAGCAAAATTACTACAGATTCTGTAGCTACCAAAATAATAGTAGGGAATGTTATGAACAATGAAATCAACAATGTTGGTGAAATGTAAAAATTTGCTGAAAGGCAAACATTACCAATGCTTGCTCAAGAAAAAAGAAAAACAAATTTAGAAAATTAATTTATCTATTGAATATTTTGAATGTGTTGATCAAAAAATCTTTCTATAAAAACACTGATCCAAGCTGGGCACTGGTGGCTCATGCCTGTAATACTAGCTACTCAGGAAGCTGAGATCTGAGGATTGTAGTTCAAAGACAGTGAGGCAGGAAAAGTCCCGGTGAGACTCTTACCTCCAATTTAACCACTCAAAAACAGGAAGTGGAGCTGTGGCTCAAAGGGGTAGAGCACTAACCTTGATCAACAGAGCTAAGGACAGGGCCCAGGCTCAGAGTTCAAGCCACACAACCAAAAAAAAAACAAAAACAAAAACAAAAACAAAAAATACTGATCTAAAAAACTGGAAAAGAGTGAAGGAAGGGATAACATTGTCCAAAAAGAAATTTACTCTTTATCTGACTTACGTAATTGCAACCACTGTGTACAAAACTTCTACAGTAACAATAAAAATAATAACAGCTGGGCACCAGTGGCTCACAACTGTAGTCCTAGCTACTCAGGAGGCTGGAGATCTGAGGATCAGGGTTCAAAGCCAGCCAAGGCAGGCAAGTCTGTGAGACTCTGATCTCCAATAAACCACTAGAAAACTGGAAGTGGCGCTGTAGCTCAAGCGGTAGAGCACTCGCCTTGAGCTGAAGAGGTAAGGGATAGTGCCCAAGCCCAGAGTTCAAGCCCTACAACTGACAAAAAAAAAAGTAGTGATACAAAGTCAGGTGCTGGTGGCTCACACCTGTATTATAACTACTCAGGAGGCTAAGGTGTGAGAACCAAGGTTCAAAGCCAGTTAGGGCAATAATGCCTTATGAGAGTTGGGCTGGGAAGGTGGCTCAGTGGTAGAGTACTTGCTTTGTATGCATTTAGTCCTGGGTTCAGTTCCTCAGCACCTATAACCAGAAAAAGCCAAAAGCTGAGGGACAGCACTCAGGCCCAGAGTTCAAGCCCCATGACCGACCCAAAAAAAAAAAAGTCTTTGAGACTCTA